ATTTATTCTTGATTTGGGTCTGTACTCAGGTTCCCAATCAAGACCACACAAATAGTCCACATATTGGATTTATCTCGATTAGACTTATCCAGATTTTGATATTGGATATTAAAAAATATTTCATATCGGCCCAAAGCCCAATAATAATCAAAACAAATTTGTTTAATCGAATAATTATTTAATAATAATTCTAGGGTATGTTTCGGGGCGTTACATTTCTCTCCCCCTTAAAATAATTTCGTCCTCGAAATTACCCGAGTCATTGGTTGAAGAGATTCGGATATTTCATCCTCATTGACTCTTCGGTTTCCCATGTTGCCTCTTCAGTCGAGTGATTCCTCCATAGCACTTTGACTAAGGGTACAGATTTGTTTCTCAATTGTTTGACCTCTCGTGCTAAGATTTGTACAGGTTCCTCTTCATAAGTCAATTGTTCGTCAAGAGTTACAATTCCCTTAGTCAAGATATGCGATGGATCGGAACGGTATCTTTTCAACATTGATACATGGAATACGTCATGGATCTTGTTCAATTCTGGTGGAAGTTCTAACTGATATGCTACTGGACCCACACGTTCAGTGATTCGATAGGGTCCAATATATCTCGGACTTAGTTTTCCCTTCCTACCAAAACGTAGCACTTTCTTCCACGGTGAGACTTTCAGAAACACCTTGTCATCAACATTATATTCGATCTCCTGACGTTTTAAGTCGGCATAAGATTTCTGTCGATCGGAAGCCACCTGCAATCTTTCTCTGATTAGATGAACCTTCTCTTCAGTTTCGCGAACGAGATCAGGTCCTTCAAGCTCTTGCATGCTTAATTCCGTCCAGCATACTGGGGTTCTACAGCGTCTCCCATACAAGGCTTCGTACGGGGCCATTTGGATACTTGCTTGATAACTGTTGTTATACGCGAACTCCATTAGCGGTAAGTATTGTTCCCAGTTGCTTCCAAAATTAATTACACATTCTAGTAGGATAGTTACATTTGTGAGGTTTCAACTGTCTTGATGCGTATGCCACGACTTTTCCGTCTTGCATGAGTACACATCCCAAGCCATTATGAGATGCGTCACTAAAGATTGTGTAGTCTACACCTGGTAGTGGTTGGGTCAGCACAGGTGCTTCTATCAGACATTTCTTTAGTTTCTCAAAGCTTTGCTGACATGCATCGGTCCATACAAATTTCACATCTTTTCTCAGAAGTTTGTTAAGTGGAGTTGCGATCGAGGAAAAGCCTTCAACGAATCGTCGATAGTATCCAGCTAATCCAAGAAAGCTTCTCACTTCACGAACAATCCTTGGAACCTTCCACTCGGTGATGGCAGATATTTTAATGGGGTCTACCTTAACACCTTCTTGAGAAATCACATGTCCCAAAAACGTAACTTCATTAAGCCAAAATTCACACTTTGACAGTTTGGCATATAGTTTATGTTCCTGTAGTATGCTGAGTACTATCTCCAAATGTTTCGCATGGTCTTCTCGATTCTTCGAATAGACAAGAATATCATCGATGAATACAACCACGAATTGATCAAGATAAGGTCGGAATACACTATTCATGAGATCCATGAATACTGCTGGAGCATTGGTCAAACCAAAGGGCATTACCGTAAACTCATAATGACCATAACGAGTACGGAACGCAGTGTTTGGGATGTCCTCTTTCTTTACAGGGATTTGATGGTATCCTGACCGTAAGTCAATCTTAGAGAATACAGTAGATCCTCTGAGCTGATCAAATAAGTCATCGATACGAGGTAAAGGATATCGATTTTTGATTGTGACTTTGTTCAATTGACGGTAATCGATGCAGAGTCTCATCGAGCCGTCTTTCTTTTTGACAAACAGGACGGGTGCTCCCCAAGGGGAAACACTCGGACGTATGAATCCTTTATCGAGTA